AGTACTTAACCAAGGTTCTACACTTCTGGGTATAAGACACTCCATGAACCCCCCCCCAAAAAAAAACAAAAACAAATTTATTTTCCAAGGAAACACTTTTACTCTTAAGATCAAACTTAGTTTATTCCACATAAAAGAAGCAGTATTGAAACCATCGTATTTTATATCATTTGGAACTTCAAAAGCTGATGGCGCTTATACTGTAGCTGAAGAGTTTCCTTTACAGTCCATACACATTTTAAACAAATTCTGACCTGTTTAACACCGTGCTTGAATGATGTGAATACTAATATTCTGTACATCATGCCTACTCTCCCATCATCACACTGCCTAGGGTCTTCCTCCTAGATGGGTATAATGAATGAGATAAATTCTGGTTTTGTTGCTCTTAATAAAACACTCCTAGGCGCAGTGAGTTAATTCAAAATGCGCTAGGAGTTTACAACGGAGCATGCTGTTAAAGTAGCCAATTTTATACAACTAAGACAAATTAAATAGGGAGGAAATACAATAATAATGCAGTTTGCTAAAATCAAGCATGTCTGACTTCTCCCCATGCATCGATTTCAAAATTTAGTCTTCTGGCCACTTTCTTCCACCTTGTCTAGCCAGTCAGGATGCTGTGTGGCATGCAGATATAAGGCAGCGGTGAAGTTCTTTCTCCAAGACGGCTTGCACTTTGCTTCAACTGTAGCTCTGTAATGTGCCCTAAGGTATATAAATGTAAGGCGATTTTTAAAATATTATTATTAGAGTTTGTCGGAGATTATTCTCTATTAGCACTTTACTCTCATTTGGCTCAATGCAGAATGCTGGTGGATTGCTCTGGTTTCTTGTATTTTGTTGTCCTGTATTAATTTGGCACTCAATCAGTACACATTGGCGCACTGAGACTTGGGCTTTTACAATACCTTCATTTGTCACGTCTCTTGCCCTGTTTCGAAGACAGGGCCACTGTAAGATTTGGAAAAGATGCTGTTCCAATCCAGACTGTGAGCAAAGATCTTGCTAGTCTAAGCAGTAATGTCTAATCCCACAAGTATTTGATATGAATCACCACATTGCAGCTCCCTTGCCTGCAATCAAGATTTTTGAAGTACAATACTGTATATACTGTAGCATAGCTTAGATAAGTCTAAGTCTCTACATGACAATTCAACCTGATGGGGAAAAAAAGTACAGAGTGTTCAAGACCGTGAAATGGAGATTCCGAAACACCATGAGGATGTACTGCACATGCAAAGTCTACGTGGATTTAAAAAAACTGAAGTAATGGTTGCCTTAAAACTCTGCTTTCTTCGAATCTCCAAAGTCTTCCTGGAATTTACTTTAGGATGGGCACCGAGTTAGAGAGAGGCAAATGACTGCGGCCAGAAAGGAACTATTTAAATAGCTCAGAAGACATCTTGGGGTCAGCCAAAATTAGGAACAGCCACTCAAGAGATGCATCTGCGACCTCTTGGTAGGGTTGTACACTGCATTTCTACCAAAATGTGGAAAATGCTTTTGTTACACAGAAGAATGGAAAGATTGCTATTTCTGTCTAAGCACAGACATTCTACATTTTGCCAAACGGAATCATGACTGACACACAGGGTTGGAGCGGGAGGAACCAACTGAGACAAAAACCACCGGCATGCTCGGCGAGTGTCAATAGACTTCACAGACTCCCAGAGCTGGTCATGTTCTCCATAATAAAACTGATTTTGCGATGCTTTCCCAGGCTTTCCTTGACATTTTCCAGCATTAGAATTTTTTTGGAGTGTAACAGCCCTTTATTAGATCATTTACACTGTTTTTTTTCTTCACCCTCCTACGTGGGTTTCACAGGCTTGCTGCCAAATATCCAACATGGCCTGGTGGTGAGGTTAAGAGCCCATGGACTGGGAGGTCAGAGGTCTACTGTCCTACTGGGGATGATTTTGCTTAGACACGGCTCAAGAGTGAGATGTCTGGAGCTTACTGCCAGTTTTTATGGAGGCCAAGTATGTCTCGTTTCATTAGAAGAAATAGAAATTGCGCCAAGGCAGTCTTGCATTCCTGAGCCTTTTTATTTAAAAAAAAGTGCCGTCATCAGCATCACAAACTCAGCGGGCACTGAACACGATGCGGTCACACCCAATTGTGAAGCAGGAACTGTAAAATTCTTCCAAGGGCAAGCCTTGTATTGTTTGTCCCAGTTGCAAAAGCAAAACCGGAACTCTGCAAGCACCAGTGGCGTATTTAGTTTTAATCCTAGCTGCATCCTTTCTGAAGACTATCCCACATTAAGGTAATGTTTTAAGGCCCTCCAGTCAGGTCTGCCTTCTGTTTTGTCTCTTGATTTCGAATATACCTGTAGCCGCAAGTTCAGTAACAGGTTTAATGTTTCCTGAAGATGTGTGTGAATGGAGCAAAACTTAGGCTTTTGGACTCCTTTAACCTTGCTTCTAATTTCAAAACTTGGAAGCAAGAAGAAGATGATAAGGATTTCATACATTACAACAATATTTCTCAGGACTAACAAGAAAGGTTATTCAAGGTTGTCTAAAACGCACTGGAACTGTTCCAACTTCACCTTGCACAACTTTTATATAGTAAATCCCTAACCTCCAAAAATAAAACTGTAGTAAGAATCCTAAAGTAATATCAATAGAAACCTTGCAACAATGCAGTTCGTGCTGAAGTTTACTATATTAGAGCTGAACTGAATGGACTAAAGTAACCTTAAACACAAAACAGCATTTTTGGATAGCAAGTTTGTCCCATTACATAATTTTCTTTATAGTCACTCAGCAGTTAGGCCATCTGGTATTATTATACTATTGTGTCCGAGAAGTAACAGGGGTCTTAATAGTAATATTTGTTACATACGAGGAAAAAAATGTGTTAATTAGCAGCTTCAATAATTGCTGTTGTTCTTGCATGCAAATATAATTTTACTCTATGGTCCTATGTAATATGCAGTACACTTTAGCTTGCAGTGATTGTTCTGGCCTGAATCCATGAGCAGAATAATCCGATGATCCGCTGCCAAAAGTAATTTAACATAAATTGTTTCTTTAAGTATTTTTCCACCAACTTTTAATATTCCTTCTGCCACAGCCATTTAATGAAAACCATGTGGGTATCGCAAGTGTGCCAGGTGATTTAGACATTATATTTTTCATGTTTTAAGAGAATTTAACACTTCATGGTTAATAACCACAACTGTACATGATATACGCGTGTATAAGCTACTTTTTATTGCATACATACTCTGCTTAGAAAAAAAAGGAAAATGGGAGAACTCGTATTATAAAAGGGATTATATAAACCACATAGATGACTTCTGGTACAGTCTTTCATCTATCAGATTATTTCTTTTCATCCTTCCGTTCAGTAATAAAACATTTGTCCACCTAGTAAGTAAAGAAACTGTTTTTTATTGTTGTGAGCTACAACTAAATTCCCTGGTTCCTACAAACAAAGAAGCTTTGAGGAAACATCCCTGCAGAGATCTGGCATTAATGATAGATCAGGGACTAAAGCACATCTCAGATGTGGGAACAGACTCTATAATAAATATTCCAGTCATCATCAGTAATGTGCATTCATGCATACATAAGGTAAGAAAAGGCCAACTTTGCTGTGTAGCAGTAATCCCAGCATGTAGTGCAGCATCTTTAGCAAAAACTGGACTGAGGTGAGCTTTATCACTATGGTGCAAAACGTTTATCCAACAGAATAAATGGAAAAGACCTTAGCTCATTGTATGACATTAACAAATCTATGAACCTACAGTACCTGACATGTCTATTAATAACCCACTTGCCACCTAGTGGTCTTCTACCACAAATAAATCGCATCATCGTTAATTTGGCCTATGCTTTCATGCAAAACAACTTGTACCCATTTCCACAAGTTTGCAGTTTACTGGAGCAATCCGAATGCTATACTTCACTCAAGGATACAGCAACAGCTCTCTGACTGGAATAATAACCCACAACCTTCCAGTTGTAAGTCAATAAGTCTATACCCACTCCTCCACAATGCTGTCCTACACATGCCTACTTACATAACATCACACCCCAAAATATGCGCAGTACATCAAACTTTGAACATGTAAGAATGTAGTCTTGCTTCCTTAACCCATATAGCTTTGCCAGAGTTTTCAAGTCACAGAGAAAAGGCTGAGGTTTCAGATATTTCAGATACTTGGCTAAAGGAGACCTGAAACATGGCAGGAGACCTTCCTCTGAGTTAAACTCTCTTGGAGACTTGGAAGAAATGCCATTTACTCTTAGTGGTTTAATCATTAATTAATCTTCACTCAGAGAGCAATTATGAATAAACTGAAAACTATAAAACTGTTCATGGTTTTCAGCCATCACAAATTGATTATGTTCTCCATCTGGCATTTCTAACCTTAACATGTACCAGTTATGTGAGAAATAGATGCATCTTCTGCAAGAAACAAATGCTAAAGTAAAATTTCTGCTGCACAATCAAAAGGTTTTTACAATTTGTGATGACCATCACTCTAATGTGGTGTTCTTGTTCACCAGCTATTAGCAGCTTTGTTGCTGCTAATTTACCACACAAGATTCATGTCTGAAAGGCATGTCTGGTTCTTGTTAAGTTATTTCCCCAAACAAGAAGTAAAACATCTTGAAATCAAAGACTTTCTGAGTAATCCCCCTGGATGGTTGTCTTCAAAGAATTGTTTTGATGGGTGGTTTCTCAAGAAGTACGTAGGAGTCTATTTGTTGTTTCTTGTGCTTGAAATTCATGTACCGAACGCTAGCCATCTCGGTTTAGAGCCGTTAATACTGGAATTTCATTTTCAGGAGAAAAATATTCCTTTTACTGTAGGTGCTGCTGCGTGCAGGGACATCAGCCAAAACAACTGCCAAGGCAGGGTGTAATGTAACCATGTTAATAGCCTCTACTCCATCTTTTCACTTTGTCAGCCTCCTGTGTTCTCTGTTTAGTCCAACAGTATCATAGAATTACTGTATGTTGTTTTTTTTTGGTCTTACCTTCCGACCAGGCTGCCCAGGTAAACCAGGAGGACCGAGACGTCCAGGATCTCCCTAAAAGCACACAAATAACATCTTAAACCAGTAGGATCACAAAGCAAAAACGTACCACTACACACTTTAACTGTCTTCCCCCTCGCACTCTGGCAAGTGGTACCACACTATTAAAGCGCGGACCACTAGACTCAAGAACAGCTTCTATCCCACTGAAGTACGCTAACTGCAGTGCCTCAGACTCAATACACACCTGCGCTCTGCACTTTTTGTGTGGTCTACACTAGTACATATTGATTGTCCCACAACATATTTATTCTTCCCGTCATTATCTATTATGTTTGTAATGTACTGTCTACATTGTGTGGAGTTGTCTGCTGTAGTGTGTACAGTACATCCTGAGAGATCAGAGTGATGAAGAATTCCAAAAACCTACTCCACTCTCTACTCTTTAAATCAGCACAAACACTTAAATTACATGCAGCAGTTCCCAGTCTTATAATGGTTCACTGAAAGTGAAACTCTGCATGTTACCTAGTGACATAATGTTACTATGTCAATGGGAAACAGAAAAAGGACTCTCCGCAAATTAAATTAAAAACTGAAACCATGACTGGAAATTCAGAGAACGCCTGGAAAAGAGAAAGAGCTCGTTTTCACTTCTCAACTGTAACGTAGTGGATACAGGAAGAATCACTGGGTATCTTTTCGGAAAAGCAAACTTGTTCTTTCTTGAGTTATGCTGCACTTTTTTATATGGAAGACTACCTCTAAAATTAGGAACTTGTTTCAGCAACTTACCTTTAGAAAGTATATCTTGCAATGCTGTGTCAAGATCAATTCCTTTGTATTAACTCCTCTTTAAATGCATGGCATTACATGACTTGCATTGTGAATAGGAATGTAAAGAAAAACACTCACTTTCTGTCCATTAGGTGCTCTACCAGGTGAAAGGCCAGCATCTCCTTTTCTACCCTGAAACACAGAAAGGTAATAAAACCATATTAATCGAAGCAATTTGAATAACCCTATAGTAGAAGGTACAGTAATATGTTGCACTGAAAGGTAACTTTTTCTCTTTCAAATGGTAACTTGGCACTAATGCTCTTTTAATGCTTCAAGTAAAATTTTTCTATAAAGGTTACCAGCTCTAATGAATGGAATCCTATCCGAGGACTATTTCCGTAAGAGATCAGCCATATAACCAATTAAGCCTATAACGATAATTTTATTCTTAGCTTTTCAGATAACAAAAGCGCGTTGAGACATTGGAAATTTCCTTTCCGTTCTTAGGTAGTGGGATGCAAATTGCACCAACCCAAGAACTGCAAAGAATTCCATCATAAGACTGAATTTCCCATATCGAGTGATCAGAAACCACCTCAAAATCAGAGCAAAACAATTCTAGAGTGCAGAGATTAGGCAAGGTAGAGAACTATAGTAAGTACGTACATGAAGCTTGGCAAATGTTTGAAAAATCAACTGAGATAAGATTATAAGCCATGCAAAATTTTGTGTGACGGCAATAAAAACAAAAAAAAAATCCTTGTAGATCAAAAGGAGACAGGCCTGTATTGGTTTGAAGATTTCTGGGGAAAAAAGCAACTTTTGAAAAACCTGGAATAGCCTCTTTCTCCTTGTTCTATGATGTTAAAAAGCCTGAAGGTCTAAATGCCAGACATCTACAAATAATGTTTCACTACTGAAGTCAACAGAGTTCCCACATCAAGGCTAAAAGAAGGAAATGAAAAAAATTGATTTTAAAGAGGAGTCCTGTGGTTTCAGTGCTGTTTTTCTTTGTTTAGCCCTAATAAAAAAAATGAAACTTGCTCATAACAGTTTAGCTCATAATGTCAAACACCTTTTAAAAGGACAGTGTCAGCTCCTTAATACGCTTGTTAAAGATGGAGCTCAAGCCAACCTTTACATTAATTCCTTTAATAGTTGTGCTAAAAGGGGCAGACAAAAACAAAATTAAAAACATAAAAACTAAAACATTATTAATTGAAATTACTGACTTTTTTAATGGGTGTCTACCCATCAAGAATTTGGCAGCAATTATTATTTCTTCTTAATATAACTTCAGTACACTGAAAATAAAGCATCAGAGGAGCCAGCTAAAATGCCTTGTTCATACGAGTTCACCATTTTCTTCTGAAATCAAAACCTTGGATTTTTTACTTTAAAATCTACTACGATGTCTTGAAAAATCTAGTACATTTGATGACTGGTTGCAAGACAGCAAATAAAGGTTTTATACAATTGCTTTATCTGCTTTAAGTTTGACTTGGTTAGTAAAGATTTTCTTTTTGTTTGAAATAAACTTATCCATGATGAATTCTTCCTTCAGTGAACTGTAAACTCCTTCTAACAAGTCTGAAATTCAAGCATCTGTCCTGGTATAAACAACAGTCCTAGCCTGAGATATTAAAAGCCCTCTTGTCTGTAAAAAAAACACTCAAGGAAAAAAAAAAAGTCTTAAAATTCAGAGATGCTACTTAAACATTCTCCCCGCAGAAATCCAAGTTAAATAAGGGAAAGGCGAAGCATAACTTAATACAGCTGTCTCTGCACCGAGCCTGAATGGGATAAGACCTGCCAAGCAAGGAGGTTGTAATGAGAGTACAATCACAGTGCAGCCTCTTCTCCAAGGGATCTTTCATTTTTATTTCCGACAAGAACTGTCTGCAAGGCAGCATTTCTCTGCTCAGAATGAATAGTGAAACACAAACTAGACGACGCAAGTGCAAAGTACGTTGAAGCATACAGTATTTAAAACTGAGAAGAGGAAGCACATCTGTACGTCTAAGGGTTGTGAGAGTGTGGAACAGGAGGCCCAACCATGTTGCTGAAACTGATAACCTGGCTTCTTTCGAGAAACAACTGGATGAGATCCTTCTACCAATTAAGTACGAACAACCAAATGGGTTAGATGGGCTAAATAGCCTGCTCTCATTTACAGCTTTTTCTATTTTCCATGCTCTGATGTAGAAACTGAATTTGACAGAAGAGCAGAAGAGAGAGTCCTGAGGAGTTCTGTGTACTTACACCTGCAACGACTGTAAAGATCTGCCATGTTTGAAATGAAACTATTCAGAACTCCAATATAAGAGCCATAACAAACCAAAACAAGAAACCCGAGTGAGTGTGGAGACAAAGATTAGCACACGCCGCTGACCTTCCTGTGCCTGCATGGGCAACATGTTATGGTTCTCATAACATTTACTGCATTGCTTTGCCCAGTTACTCACATTACTGCCTAGTTTGTACTGCATGACCTCCCCAATGGGTCTAAGGATTTATGAGCTCTAGAATGACATGGATGGCTTCTTGGTCTGGCTGTTAGCTGTAAGAGTACAAGCTAAAAAAAGTCCTTTACATAGCCACACAAATGCAACATATTGAGGGATGTCATCTTTATCTCCTTAGCTCAAGAATACATCTTTAAAAAGGAGTCCATTATCACATATGAAAAGTCTTTTTAACTAATTAACCACAATCGTCTAACAAGGGCAGGGCTGCTATTGAGCATTCACTGGAATAGGGAGCATTTGCAACTGTTTACATAGTTACAAAGGAGAAACAAATTCTCAGTACTTGAGGTATATCCTATTTCTAATTAAATGTGCTACAGCTTAAACAAAGCAGAGAACTCTGGGAAAAGTGGAAAATGGTTATCTTGTGTTGCAAATGTACAATTACACAGAATTAAGATGGATTTAGAGATATCAAAATTTTGATAAAAAGCCAAAGAGTGAGCCCTGAAGTAAATTCTACTTTACATGTTTAAACACTTTTTGAGAAGAGTGTAAAGATCTGCCCCTTTCAATTTACTTCCAGTTAAGCTCCCCAGATCTGCTGTATAGTATGTGTACAATGTGGTTTTTGTATTACCTTCCTTTTTCACAGGGCACAGTTTTTTTAAAAGTATTTTACTTTTCTCAGTAGCATTTTGTAAAATAAAGGTCAGACAAGTCACTGCAGAAATACTGTAGGTTTGAGCAGATTGAGAGAAAAGGGGGTTTGCTTTAGAATACAGAAAGAAAAAAAGCCTTTATGACATTTCATTTCAGTGATCGTATTTCCAGCACCCAGCAGCATATAAACCTTAATATGAGGCCTTTTCTTACAATCACCCAGTTCCCTTATCTGATTCTGGTTTTCCTTCAAGTGTGGAAGACATGTTCAAGTGGTGAATCATGAAGTGTTGAATTCTTATGCACAGATTCAAGAACACAGCATGTCAGCTCAGATTCTTCAGGAGTAAAAAAGTACAGCTTTTAAATTCATGCACTGTGCAGCTGCAATTGCTCCAGATACTGGTACTAGTATTTCTGTCCACGTCAATTCAATTTTCTTTACATTGCTTATGTAATATTAATGAAATTCCTATGTTATCCCTTTTAGAGTCAGCAGTAGAGAAGGAAGTTGCTTTTGTGATGAACACATAATGAGTGTATGCACATGTGTGGTGAGATCATATTCAGAACACATGCTTATGGCAGCACAATCTTAAGTCTTAACCCAGTGCAGCTACTGAATACAAAAACTGTGCAGTGACTTCACAGGCTAAATTTATTAAGCATTAATGGGGCTGTTACTGTATATGCATGCACAGAGAGCCCTAGTTGACCCTAATGTCATTCTACTGCCTTAGGAAAAAAAACATTAAAAAGACTCACCACAACATATATGCTTTCCACTCAAAACCCTTATAAATCTCAGTCCATTCTGGAGGACAACTCATCTGAACTGACTCCTCATTTTTTTTAAAGATCCAACTGACCATTGATTTGCTTTTAAGCAAATCACACAGATAGTGAATATAAAGTAAAAGTAGTGGGAGAACAAAGGTTGGGAGGGAGGAGTGAGAGGCGGGAGCAGGGGACAGAAAGAGAGGCCAATCAAGAGGTGTGAAGTCAGAATGGGTGCAGAGAGGTGTGAAATGAAACTTCCAATGAATTGAGAAAATTTAAAAGAACAGTAGTCTGTCGTTAAGAGAAGGGAGAATGTGTGATCCTAGCTGCAGAATAATTTTGGTTTCGGTGGTCTTTCTGATGTATGAGTTTGGAAAACCGTCTTTGAGAACACAGACGGACACATACTGCCCTGTCTCTCTCACACCTGAAGAAGGCTCCACGGCTGAAACGTTGTGTTCTCTTTCTTCTTTTTTTCAGCATGGAATAAACCTATTACTTGTTCCTTTGCAGCCTACGCATGCTGACGCAGCTACCAACCTGTATATTTTTTACGTTTCTTTTTCCCTGGCATCAAGCCTTTTTGGATTTGTGTAGAATTTATTTACATAGTGAATCTAAAGCGTCAATTCCTGGTATTATACTCAAGTAACAAATGTCCTATAAATGTCCTTAAAGCCTTCTGTACTGTACATACCTTGAGTCCTGGGAAACCAGGAGGGCCAGGATTTCCATGTGGACCAAGTGGACCCTAAAACACAACAAATAAAAAAATAAGTCCCATTTTAAGCAATACCATTATTCCTTATGAAAGCCTTGGTTAACCATGATAAATTTCCACTCTCTTCGTGCAGTTTTGGTGTTGCTGTACTTACACCATGCATTGACCTAGATTTGTCTTGGGTCTTGGAGAGGACGAAATTCCTCTTGCATGTTACCTGATTTATATTGTGCTGCATGGAACATAGCTCTTTAGTGGACAGGGACACGGTATACCCCTTTGGTAGGAGAGACATTGTGGAGTCAGAAACAGATGTATGCATTGCAAAGAAGTGTTTGAGGAAACGGGTATTCACCATAAGTTCATTATGTGAAATAACCATAAACCTTTCGAAACATGAGCACCAAAAACAAAATAAAAATACGTGACTACAAGGCCAGACATGAGCTACTGGATACTGTATGAAGGAACCACGCTATTTATGCTCCAAATTCATTATCACGGGCCCTAAATCAATATGAAGTGCATCCAGATATGGAAAAGCACTTTAGTCAAATGGTAAGCTTTTCTCCAGCAGGTCCGGACATTGCAGAAAAGGAGAACATTTATCGTCTGAGCCTGCAAGGAACCCAACAGGTCTCCTTCACAATTGATAAAGACTTCAACAAAAACAAACATGACCAGGAAATTCCCCGAAGTCTAAAATGTAAAACTGGATGGACTGTCCCGCCTGTCCCATCTTTGCTGTGGTTTCATTTGTTAGTCCATCATAGAAAAGTACGAGGGAAGTGGACCAAATCATAGAAAAACTGAAAATGTAAGTGTAAGTCAAGTTTTTTCATTCTTTCATTTATCATGGGCTGAAGAGTTCAGTGCTGCTGCTGATGGCGTCTGGGCAATGTCAGTGCCTACTTAGCTTGAAATGTTCCCTGCATGTGCAGGTTATTGACCTTCATTTGTTTTGCCACAGTTGCCAGTTTTAATTATGTGTGTAAGCACATGATTTTTCATCTTTTAGTCCCTTTACCAGACTCTTATCTTTCAGAATCACAGAAAGAGCTCATGCAGTAGAAATAAACCCCTCGTTTACAGCTCCTGTCATCTCTGCTAATATTTCTTTATTCATTACTATATCCGCTAAACGATCACGACCAGTAACTGAACAGGACAAAACCGTTTCCAAAAGCAAAACTGTGGAGCAATTTTCAAAAGCAATCTCTTCAGCTACTGACATTTAAAAAAAAAAAAGAGCTAGACATATTCTGCAGTCATAGAGTTACTGTTTGAATACCTGGATAAAAGCGGGATCAAAAACTTTGAAAAGGTAGAGCAATCCTATCTTAAATGAAGGGAAGGGTTAAGTAACAATTAAAAGCCTTTCAGCTGCAGCAATGTGCTGTTATCTAAATAGTACAGACGTTGGGAACAAGTCCAGTTATTTGGGAACGGAAGTTGAGAGCTCTTTGCTGTGATGCTCTCTGAATACATGATTCACATACAAACCAGAGGATGTTTTTCAAAACAAATTTTTCATGCAGTATACAGTACTACTGTCTCTTTCTTACAAAAAAAACAAGACAAGGAGTCAATATTCAATATCTACCTTGAAATTACAGTCAATCGCAACTTTGTCTGGACAATGAACGTACTGTGAAACACTGATACTAGCAATATGCAAAAGCAACACTCACTAAGCTAAAACTATTCCGTGGTTAAGTTTGCTTTGTTAATATTTTAACCAATACATTCAATACAAAAAACTACAGGTGAACGCGTGTATTATTTAAAATAAAAATCAGTTTAAGCACCCACTGTTGAGCTTCAGTCTTTGCATAGGCCAGAAAAGGATCCCTACCCTGACCTACAGTATACCTGGCTCGACATTTTCTCCTGAGCTTAACACAGTCCAGGATAACTGTCCGGTTTGCTCAATCGCCACCAAAAGCTTTATTTGTACTGGGCTGGCCCACAGAATAAATCATTTCTCAAAAATACGTTTTTGGAATCCTGTCCGTAAAAGCTTTTCACATTCTTTCAGACATATTTAAATTTCCCAAATTTAAAAATCCCAAATTCTTGAACCTTAGTTAAGAAAAAGAAAATAACCAATGTGTAAAAAGTAATTTTCAAACGTGTGTAATTCTGCAACTTAAACCTATTTCTACATCTCAACCCAACTTAAATAAACACACTAGGACAAATGATTTAAAAAGTCATATGAAATGTGAACATACTGTACACTAGGTACCACTGATTCTCAGAGGCAGTTAAGCTACAGTAGGATGAGTAATTCAGACATAAATCTCAGTGATGTATGAAAACACAATGGCTTATATTAGATATTGAGCATATGGTTACACTTACTAGAAGTTCATATACAGATTTCCTTTTTTATTCTTCTGTTCAGTGTTTTGCTCATTGGATATTAAACACATGGTAATGGTTAAGGCCAAAAAAAAAGAAAATATATTTTACTTTAAACATGCCGTTTAATGAATTGTTTGTGGTAAACAGAAAATCTTTGCAAAGAACAAAAAATATTCCAACCACAAAGCTGGGGAACAGATTTAAAATTTACAAACTAGGCAGCGCATCAATTACTATTTTAAGGCACAATGAATCACTACCTCTGTGCTTTCCCTATTGTCAGCATTAATATGAAATCAAATAGCACATCTCTCAGCCTTGAATTGTTTGCGCTCCTAAACAATCTATAGTAGCTTCTCAACTTCTATGTCCAAAACTGTTTAGCATCCTCTAATTCAATCTTTGTGGGAACTTGAGTTTATGAAGGAATGCAGGTAAAATTTAACACACTAAGATATTCTTAAGTAACAGAATGAAGTGTACTGTATTACAGTAGCTGAATTTACGGGTAAAATCTGTGTGTGAATGTGCATAAAAATCTACAATAAAGTAGTAGTGCAACAGATCAACACAGCAATTTCATAAATACAGTTTTTAATGTTATTTTGTGATTATATAAGCAAAAAAAAAACTGCTAAGATGTTTCAAGATGCCTTTGCTAAATTCTGATAATACAGCCCTTAAAATGTTGAACCATTCTGTTCAGCATGTTAGTTTTTTTTATTTCCCCAACCACTTGCAAGTTATTCATGTTGAAATTAAAAAAAAAACAACCACTTAACATGTTTACTGTTATCCATATTGTATATACTGCATAGAACTAATCTAGTCTCCTCATTGTTTCAGTCATTTGTTTCCCCATAGTCTCCCAAGAACTCAAGAACTAAAATCTCATTTGTACTGATTCCCTCAGAGCCCTAACACCTACACTGCAGCACTGCTTTAATTTCAGCACACAAATTAAAAGGAAGAAAAGAACAGCAGTTGGAAGGCAACACTGTTTAAGTCTTTAAACTATGTTTCAATTTAATGTAATGTTTTCACCTTACAATCTTGGGAACTTGAAAGTTATCGGTGAAGCAAGGAGTCTTTTCCTTGGCAGTTTTGATATGGTGTCGGGGGGAACCCCTAGCAAAAAACTAAAACACTTCATGAGCCCTCCCCCCCACCTAACTTCTACCCTGAACTCTACAGAGCACCCACAGAAATAAATTAAAGTAGATAATGGTAGGCTTGCGGTTGGAGCTTCTGACTCTTCAGCTACATCTTTTCCCCAGTCCAGAGAGAGTGTGACCAAGCCAGAAGCCAAAGGTTTAAGGCCAGAGCACTAGCCACTAAAGGCTACAGCTCAACAGAACACTGCCAAAAGGCCAAAACCAGAAACATCCTGGTCGGGTGGAGTTTGTGTTTAGCTTCTAAAATAGTTCAAGTACAACACCCGTTATATACAAATTGAGCCCATCCAATAATACATTTTTACTCGGGTCAGATCCATTTTCTAACTGCTTTATCCAATGAAGAGTCGTGGAGGAGCAGGAGCCTATCCCAGCAAGCAACGGGTGTAAGAGAGGATACACCTTGGACGCAGGGCAAACACGCACACACCGTGATCAGTTTTAACAGAAACCGTTCAGGTCAGATGTTATATGAAAATATAATGCTGTTTCCTTCACTGTAACATTCTCAAATTGTTCAAAAAGAAGGGCACCTTAACAAATTTTTCCACCTGTAATTTTCCTGGGAGAAAAGAAATTATGTGGACAAAACAATTAAAGATGTACCCAATGACAAACACATTCCATTTCTTTAATGCTCACCATTCTCCTACAAGGTGGCTCCATCGTTGCATCAAGCTAAGTTTTAAAAGATCTCAGAATTTCATGGTTTGTTAATCTTTACCATGCATTGGCCAGTGCAAAAATTAAACTTGTATTTCCGCATTATGAGAATCTCTTAAATAACCTACTATGGTCAACCTTAGTCACTGTTAAACCTGGAAAAGACCAAAATGTCAAAATAGAAATATTTTTTTCTAAAACTGAGGAACTTGAGTTCCTTAAGTGGGTCTCCATAATAACTCATGTCCTTAACCTATGTTTTTCCTTGACTTCTGCATTGTTTCCACAATGTGAAGACTGTAACAGTATATACAGTACAGTACTTATCCAGATGTGGTCTAATTCTAATATTGTACAGTAGTTGCATGGCAAGTGCTAAAACTTTTGGTTAAAGCCTCTTTCCTTGGTTTCTATCCAAGAATGACATTTTCTAGTGACAAGTGATAGCTTGAATATAATAATTTGTTGCAATAGAGCAGACTTTTGAGCCCTAACATGTAAAATATTTTATAACATCTTTGCCAATTTTCTTTAAGTATGCAAGATGGAAGTTTCTATTTTACAAAGGACTTGCAGTATTGTTATGTGAAACTGCGCATCACGGCACTACAAAAGTTAAAGAACACAGGATTTAATGTAGGGCTTTAATTTTGTATGCATTTTCCTTATTATGAATGTATATAGTTTAGTTAGAAGTAAAATAATTGTAAAATATTAAGCGTACGGATATGAATAGACTAAATTGTCATGTTTGAGATTTACAGTCTATTGGCAAATTTGTATTATAAAAGGATTGTTGTGTAATGTCATCTGCATTTAAAATGG